TCAATAGTAGGAGTATCGGCACCATCATCCTTCACAAAAGCTAAATATGACCAACACCCCTTCCCAACCATCCGTTGGGCCTTCAAATATGAAATCACCCTACTGGAACATAGTTCAGAGAACCTCTCCACTCGATCCTAGGTAACCCCAGCATCGCCAACGTCACGGTCTTAGCGTGACAATCCAGAATAGCATGACATGGGGACAATCAATCCATATCCAGAATCATATTAAAACCAACCATACTAACCAATAAGAGATCAACTCTAGTCTCCAATCCCTCGATAGTCACCACAAACGACCGATAGATAAGGTTCACAATAATAGAATCGCCCACCAGCGTAGATACATGAACATGCAAAACTAATGACTCACGGGGCATATCCAAATATCGAGCAAAATATGATGATACATACGAATAAGTAGAACCAGGGTCAAACAATATGGAAGCATCCCTGTGGCATATTGAGACAATACTGTGATCACTACGTTTGGAGCGACGATCTCTGCCCTGGCAGGGAAAGCATAGCATCGAGCCTGACCGCCACCTGATCGCCCCCCTCTAGGGCGACCTCTAGCTGCCTGAGCCCCACCCTGAACTCGCTGAGCGGGTGGTGAAGTAACTGGTGTGAAAGTCATAACCTGACCCCTCTGCTGAACTGGACCTCCAAAACGACGGGGACACTGTCTCCACACATGTCCAAACTCCCCGCACTCGAAGCAACTCCCCGATGTTGGTGGAGACTGAACCGAACCGCAAGAACTAGAATAACTACTAGAAGAACCTGGCACAGATGAATCCTGAACTGATGGAGCACGAGATGAACTCTAAGCTGGGAGGGCACTGAGAGATGACTGACCCGGATGAGTACTGTAAGAACCATGGATAACTGATGCACCAAGATGAACTGGACGAGCCATCTGAGCGGGCCTATAAGTACGACCCCAATCCCAAACTAGTACTTAACAAAGAACAAGTCTTTCCTATACTCTCTCATGTCTGTATTTCATATTCAATCATTCAGATAGCTTTGATAAACCAGTTGTCACACGTAGAAGAGCCATCTAACAAAGCTAAAACTCGGATTCTTTATTTTGTGTTGCAGAAATACCAAACATTTTCACTCTGTGAAATTACTGTTGCTAAATGGAGTTCACTCATGAATGATTCACAGAAGACTGTAAATACACATATGTTTTAGGCACTGCTACTTAATTTATTTTTCAAGCTTATATTTTATTGGAATCGTTTGCTGTCAGTCTTTGTATACAATTTAGCATGGTACGGAAATTCAATATATATATCATTGGCATACATCTTCTTAGTTCAAACAAAAATATACAACAACAACAACAACACCCAGTATAACCCCATAAGTGGGGTCTGGGACGGGTAGTATTACGCAGACCTTACCCCTACCTTATAAAGATAGAGAGGATGTTTCTGATATACTCTCGGCTCAAAGAATAATGAAAATAAAGCAGCCAAGCAACAAACAATATAAGTAACAACAATGTAATATGGTACGGACGCAAATGACACAACATGTAATAATAAAGAACCATGAATAAGAAAACAAGAATAGCACTAATACTATTGGTAAGCCTAGGAGAAACGCACTGCTGCCTGTAAAGTCCAAAACTTTTTCCCAAGTTCAATTTGATTAGTTGCCTGTAAGCCTGGAGCAGAAGTACAACCTGCGCAACTATTCAAGGAAAAGAATCAGCTTGGAGAGGCTAATCACATCTTTCAATGGGATCCAAAATGCAACCACTTTAATCGATATGGTATTCAAACACAAATTTTCAAAACAAAAATACTAAGGTAATATTAATAACGTTGGTCTCAATACATAAAGTTCAAAAATAACTATTATTTTACTAAAATACATAAAGTTCTACGAACAACATATAATGTTATAACTTCAGTACATGAAAAGTTACAATATGTTATAACTCGATTATGGAGTACTGCATATTATGTTGGAACTCCAGTACATTATGCTGGAATCTTGTATGTAAGAAAAATCGAACTCCAGCATATTATGCCAGAATATTTCCGGATCGTTAGAGGGTGTTTTGTTCAAATTTTATTTTACATAAAAAATAGCTATTTTCATACCGTTAATTGAAATTATGGCTATTTTTCAATTACTAGTTGTAAATCTGGCTATTTTTTATTTTTTTTCTCCCCCTTATCTTGCGATTTGGACCTTATTGTCGTTACTGATCAGCTCATAAAGGGACAGCCCAATGATTGGAGGCTTAAAGTTTTGACCCAATTATGAATTTTTCTAGAAATATTTTGGTAAATAGCCATTTTTCAGACCGTTAATTGAAATCCAGCCATTTTTTCAAACTATTCAGCATTTAGCCATTTTTTTACACAAAAATAAAATTTGAACAAAACTATCTTTAGCTAAAAACATTGATTAACTCCAAGGAGATAAATTATTGTTCTTTTCCTTTAACATGCATGGAGTTTTTGAGCGCCAACATATTGTGCTGATTATGTTGGAGTTTCACTTATAAAAGTTTTCAACTAAAGTGCGATAGTGCTGGAATTTTTCGTATTTTAGCTAGAAGTATGTTAGTCCAAAAATCATTTTCGTATTAGAAAGCAACTATATCTTGATTATATTTCAAATAGTGGTTAAATATTAACAAGCGCTCAAAAATTGGTCATCCCGTGCCATTTTTATTGTTTCTCATTTCTTTTTGGGAAGAGCCTCTTTAAGCATGCTTCTACCAGTAGGACCTTAAACTTCTTTTGAAAGCCCAACAAAAAGTAAAATGCACAAGCCCACAAAGCTATTGAGTTTGGATGACAATTTTTAAGAAGGGAAAAAATGAGGGGAAGTACATTAATAGCCATTTTTAGGACTGTTATTTAGGGATTAGCTAGCTAGTGTTTATTTTGTCCTGAAAATTTAAATTAAAAATCTTAACTTCAGGTCTTTGTGCCTTGAAAAATTAAACTGGAAGACTGAAATTCAGTACATACTGGCTTGTTTCTAAATAGCAGCCATCTACGCAAAAAACAGAAATTTTCAAGTTGAGAAAAGCTTTTGAGCTATTTTTATTTCAAAATCTTAACTTATAAGTTGTTCCAAGAAGGTGGAGTCAAAATAATGTTGCCAAATTTGCAAAAGGGGATTTCTCATTAATTGTTTTGGCTGTTGGATGACTGACCTGATACTTGAAGTGGTAGACACGTCGGTTATATGTAAGGGAAGACTTGACTCTAAGCTTTTTTAAGAAAAATAAAGAGGGGGTAGGGTGGGGGGCGGCGGCTCATTAGATGAGTTTTTGTAATTTGAGATCAATGAATTATTTAATTCCATAAGCACTTAATAAACTCAAAGTAGAATTGTTCTTCTGTTTCTTTTTCAGGTTCAATTACTTTTTTTTTTCTTTTTGATAAAGTTTAAATCAGTAGTATGAAATTTTCTGCATTCAACTAATTAATATTTTTATGTTATTTGTTCACTCCTAATCTTTGGAACAACAAATATAATCCATAGCCTACCACTTGATACATTAATAGTTTTATCTTCATAAACCCTTTTGTATACGGGGTCAATTGGTTTTTTTGGCTCTTTATAAAATTATTTTTAATTTTATGATACTATCTCTTTTTTACACATGAAAATTTTATTTTTACACGTAAGAAATCCGCCTTTTACACGTAAAAGATCTAAAAAGATCATTTTCTTAAATTCAAAATTGTAAAAGAACATGATTTACAAATAGCACTTATATACGCTTATATCTCGATGCAAGACTCTATATTTCTAATATTTTCACATACTTAACTTGATTATAAGGCTTATAACTCAATTAAATTGTTGATTTAAGAGTAAGACAATTGTTGAATTTGAGCATGTAATTCAAAGATTTAACCGGTGAAATTGCTAACGACCTTTGTAACCCTTTTATTTCGGAAAAGGGTCGTATATGTCCCTTACTTTGAGAAAATAGTTATATTTATCCTCCCTTTAAGTTATCGCATTTATATGTTCTCGTTGTTAGTACACCTTTGATCACAAATGCCCCTCCTTCCAACCAGTGGCGGATGTAGCATTACAACTATGAGTTCAATTTAACCTATAATTTTCGAGACGTAGCGTAAATTATATTTATGTGTAAAAATTTATTAAAGTTATAAGAAATAGTAGATATAAACCTATAATTTTAAAATATAATGAGTTCAATGCTAAGAACCTTAAATGTTGAATCTACAAAATTTAAATCTTGGATCCGCTTGTGCCTCCAACGTACTGGAAATATTATGGCATAATATGCTGGAGTTCAATTTTTCTTACATACGAGCTTCCAGCATTATGTGCTTAAGTTCCAACATAATATGTGAGAAATTTATATGCAGGAGCTCCATAATCGAGCATATTTCATATCCACCTTATAAATGACATGTGGAAGGCCGTTATTAGTCAAACCATACCCCAAAATTTCGAACTCATTTACCCGATCCACAATTATATTCTTAACTTTCATGTATTGTTCTCTAACCACTCAAGTTTGAGGACTGACTTAATAACGCGATTAAGTGTTTTAACTACGGCTAATTACGAGCTTAATGACGTGATTAAAGTAATCCCAAGGTGTGCACGTACCACACTAGGGTGCTGAAGTGTTTGAGACATATTACATGTTAGCCAATGTCTAGGCATTAGGCCTTAAAAAATGAAGTTCCAATATTCCAAATACATAATTAATGTATAGTTGTCACTAATTTACATGATTATTAGCTAACAACTTAGGGCAAATTGACTTGGATAATTAACCATTTCTTTTTTATTACCCGGTCCCTCCACTTCTTTCCCACCTGCATTTACACGTTTTATTTCCCATTTAAAGGTTGTAGCTCTATGCAGTTTCTTTCAGCAATCTGCCTGATTTCGGTTTAATTTGCTGTTTTTATTTGGTGATATTTCATTAGTCATTGTTTCTGTTTTTTTTTTGTTGCTTAATTGCTTAATTGCTCTCCTTATTATCAGTAATTCAGAGTGACAATCAACATTTCCTTTTATCAACATATCTCAATTACAGATATTTGCTTGGAAATTGTGGAGCTCCACTCTCCATATTATATCAGATTATAACAATTTCCAACAGCAAGAGATTTTTCTGTATATTGCCAGCCTTCAGGTAAGTAACTGATTAAGTTCACTTTCACTTTCCTTACCTTGGAGTATTATTTTTATTTTTATTGTTATTCATTGCCTTGTTCATTAAAAGCAACTTATGAAATGTTATAAGGTTTAAGGGCAGATTACTTAAACTTTACATCTAATTTAATCTATGTTGAATTCTAATTAGAAGAGGAGGGGAGGTAGAAGATTATTGCAATGGAGAAGTTGTCTCTGTCAACACTCATGTATTTTTATACTAGTCGCTTGATTAATAATGCATTACACGTATTGTAAAACATATGTGACACGTTATTATCGTCGCATATCATAAGCTACTCTTGCCAAAAGTAACATCTTTTTGAGTAACCCATGCCCTTCTTCTCCTTGAACAACACAGTCAAGATTTGTCAATCCGGCAAGCCTTGTAACAATTTAACAAGATAGGTAGAATAAAGATATATCATGTCTAACCAATCCAGCAAAACGCATGCAAGTTTTGCTCATTCGGCAAGACTTGTACTAGACAATTTAATAAGATAGATAGAACGAAGATAGTACTAAGTCTTGCCAATATGACAAAAAGTTGTGAAATCACAGGTAAGCTTTGCCAATTCGGTAAGTATACTTGCGAATAATTTAACAAGACGGGTAGAATGAAGATAATACCATGTCTAACCAATCCAACAAAACTTGTGAACAATTGAACAACACATGCAAGTTTTGCCAATTCAGCAAGACTTGTACTGAACAATTTAATAAGATAGGTAGAATGAAGATAGTGCCAAATCAAAAAGATGTGAAATCATAGGCAAAACTTGCCAATTCGCCAAGAGTACTTGTGAATAATTTAACAAGATAGGTAGAATAAAAATTATGCCTATTAAAGTTATGGCCTGCAGTCTAACATAACTTGTGAACAAGGCAAGATTTGCAAACTGCAAGACTTGTGGACAATTTGGCTTTTTAAGGCGTAATTTCCGTTCACCCGGATCTATTTTTGCCAAATTCCTAAATGGTATCAAAATTTAAGCAACGGCCTCGAATAATCCTATTTGTGCAAATCTTCCGATAAAGCTACCTTAATGAAAAGAATAACTGAATCTTTCGTATATTAATACAACTATCAAAAGAACATCATACTACTGAAGCCAGGTTGGGCCTATGTTGCTCGGACTCTCCGAAAATGTGGCCGGGTGCATGTCGGATCCTAGTGCATTTTTGGAGAATCCGACACCGGTACGGCAACATTTTAGAGAGTACGACGCAAAGGGTTGGGCTATTATTACCACACAATAACTGTTAAACACATAAAAGGAGAGATTATAATGGAAATCCTGAAAAGGTATACGTATAATATTGCAGGCTTTTCTAACGTGCTGCTGCTTGGTTTTTGCAGAAAATTTCTCTAGGGAAAATGAAGATCATTACGCTCATAGATAACGTCAAACTTCTGTTTAGCCAATGGGAATTGGGATACTCCATTATGTTTAGCATAATATTGCAGGCTTTTCTTATATTTTCGACATACATAAGAAGAAATTCAGTTGGAACCATAAGAAAGACGTTGTGGCTTGGGGTTTTCCTTGGTGCTGATTTTGTTGCAACATTGTGTCTAGGAGCCATTTTTCACTTGCCTTTGGGACCGAGTTCTTCATCGTCCAATGATCATAACCAAAAACTCAAGAACCTTTTGGTTATCTGGTCACCCTTCATCCTACTGCACTTAGGCAGGCACGGCACACTTATAGGAATTTCATTGGCAGATAATGAATTCTGGCTCAGTCATTTTCTTAAATTTTTGTACTACGAGTTCACAGCTCTGACGATAAGTATTCTGGGATCCTCAACAAGATGGTTCAACTTGGCATCGCGCATCATGTTGGTTGGAGGCTCTTTAAAGTTTGCTGAACGAGTTTTGGCGCATAAAAAAGGGAGCATGAATGAGCTTCGTAGATCCATTGTCAATGAAGATTTTCCCCGCGGCCTAGGCATTTTGGAAATTGCTGGAATGATAACAAATCCTCACATTCCCCAACACAGACGAGGCGAACCTGTTGTTGTTGTTGACATTAACGTTGGCGTAGAAAATGATACTAATAGATTTAATTTTCCTCCCGTGGCATCCATGCAGGAAAATGTAATAGCCCTGTGTGAAGCTTATTATTCTTTCAACAAGCACAAAGACCTCTACGTTGAAGGTAGGTCGCCCGAAGATTGCTACAGAATTAGAGACGGGTATTGGCGCGGTGAAAATTATAACCCAATAGCAGATGCTGGCAATGCTTTCAACATCATACAAATAGAACTCTGCTTTGCATATGACCATTTCTATACAAAAATGGCGTTGCTGCATACTTGGTGGGGCTGGATTGCGCGGTTTGTAAGTTTACTTTCAGTAGGAAGTGCGCTTGTCCTATTTTATGTTGGAGTTATCACCAATGAGGAATTTAAGCGAGCAGACAAATTTGACAAAATTGTCACCAATCTTCTGGTAATCATGGCATTATTCCTTGAGGTAGGGAGTTTGCTGGAGTCCATACTGTCGAAACGCTTTTTGGTGCAAATTGGGACCCGTGGGGGAGAGGGATGGCGGCTTTTGGAGCGCGTTATTGTAAGGATTCCAGGTAGAACAATAATCACACCAGACACAAATCCCACCTTAAAGATAGGACAGTTCAGCTTACTTCCTTTCTGTTTTAACGATTCCAAACAGAATGCCCCTTTTAAATGGTTCTTAGGCTATTTTGATCTGAAACAGTTCTGGAATAACCATCGTTACATTAGTCATATCTCCATTGAAGATGTTCATGATCATCAGCCTGAGGAAAGAAGATTCCTAAATTTGGTCTTTGACAGTATTGGACAGCGACTGAGGAGAGAGCGGACGGAGGATGATCGTTTCAGGTTCCAATCTCCGATTAGTGCAGCCGTCCTTGGCCAATTACCTAATCGTGATATTACACAAATCTTCGAGGCCATAAATGCCAGGAATTTTGAAGAATGCATTATAATGTGGCACTTAGCCACAGATGTATGCTACAGATTATACTCCAACTTTGAGGAATCACAGTATCTTCAGTACGCCAAGTACCTCTCAGACTACATGTTATATCTACTGCAAGCCCATCCTTCCATACTATTGCCGTTGACAACAACAGAGCTACAAATATATCGAAATGTATGTGCTGCAATTAACCGATTCTATGATGAAATGAGGATTGAGAGTGAGATGATAACAGAGATCGTCCGTGCGATTGAACCAATATACATAAATTTACGTGGAATCCCAAGAGAGGAACGACCAGCTAACATCACAAATTTGTTACTAGATGGATATGAACTAGCTCGAGAAATCGGGCATCAACGTATCCAGGAGTATAGAGCAACTCAAGGAGAGGGAAACATATGGAAAGTATTATTTGAAGTCTGGGTAGATATACTCTCCTATACTGCAATTCATGTTCCAGGGAAACAACACGCGGAGCATCTTGTCACGGGAGGGGAGTTTATAACATATATCTGGTTGTTTATCATCTACTTGATTGAGTTCTGATTATTGTACCTTCTTTTGGAATACTGTACTTTTAATTTGTGCTCCTAAAATGACATTAATTACACCAGTTGGGGGGCCTAAAACAAAAGCCGGAGACAGAAGGCAGGCGGATCCAGAGGCAACGACCTCATCTGTTACCGAAGAGAATGATGCTCATAAAAGTGTAAAAAATGCCTGTCATCCGGTACCATTTAATGAAAAATATTCTACAACATTAAGTACACGACCCGTTACAAAGAATATGACATTCATTGCATGCCGTTTCACATTCTTCAATGACTCTCATAATTGTCATTAAAAATAGGCTTGATCCTAGGACCTTGTTCCTTAGGTGCAACTATAAATAGTGAGCTCTATTGTTATTGG